CTGTTAAAGACTTTTCGTTATTATTTATAAAAAGTACATAATATAATTTCTAAGTAAAATAAATAAATTCATAAAAATAGGAAAAAAATATTATTCTAATAAACTTAATAAGTGTTTTTTTTGTTATTAAGTATACATTTCTAGAAGAATGAAATCTTCAAAGATTTAATGAAAACTTACGCAAGCAATTGAGAAAGAACGAAAGCGAAATCCTCTAAATATTTTTAGAAAACGATAAATTAAAACATTATTTCCATACACACGCGCTCACAAATAATAAAAAATAATAGACAATAATTGAGTTTTCCCTTTTCGTTCAACGATTTCGGAATTGAATTTAGAATTCTTACGCTATTAATTATATTTTCGAGGAATGCGTTTCTCTCCTTTTCTTACTCATCTCGCTCAGTTTCTTTCCATCGTAATTATCTAATTTGTCTTCATAATTTATTTAAGTTGCATAAAAATCGTTACGTTATGGGGGCATAATTGAATACGATTTTCTTTTCGGTCGTACATAATAAATAACAGCAACGATCATCGTAAATCTTACAAAGTGGACAAAGCGAAAAGGTGTGTACTTTGTACCAGCATCAATCAAAGATCTTATTTTCTTAAGGAAACATATGGTAATTACTTTTTTTTAAAATTAAGATTTAAATAGAGAATTAAAAAATCAGAATTGGTTAATTAATAAACTATTTATTGTGTTTAAAAATATTTGTTATAGAAGATTTAGTGATCTTCAAATTTCATTGAGAAACTTTCTTAAATTAGGATTTTATAATTGTCTTTCATTTTATACCAAAATTAATTGGATTATACGGTTATTTGTGAATATTCTTAAGTTTAAAATATTGAATTAAATTAAAGAATAAAATCTAATAGTTATAAATTAATAACTAATTTCAGTTTTGTGAACTTTAACACATTTTAATCACTATCAAATTTTCATTAAATTAAGGGGTCGGCAATCTTACTGGAGAAAAGAGCCACTTGTTTGTTAACTGTTAGAGCTGGGAGCCGCATTTTATGATTACAAACAAAACTATAGAAATATAAGAATTAATCAAAGTTTATTATTGAATAAAATTCAGGAAATAAATGTTCTGAAAAAAAATGTGTTGTTTCTTAATTGGAATAGAAAATAGTGTTGTAGGTTAAATCAGATGTTCAGCAATGATCTCCAATTACTGTAGAGTTAAAAAGGATGAAGCACGGAACAAAAAAAAAGTCGTGCGGCAATAAAGAATGTTGTATTCAGGATGTATCTCGCGTTTTTCTAAATCAAGAATAGAGCAGAAGAAATAAAAAAGAAGAGAAGATAATAGTCCTTATCCACTCTTGTGTAGATTCACATCACTGCATGTACCTTCTTCCTCCTGTTCTCGCTTCTTATTTTCCACGCGAACCTCTTCAACTCCGTAACGTAACGTTGTCGTAATACCTTTTAAAGCTGTAACTATTTATTTATTATCCAGTAGTTTGCGGTTTCCGTTCGGTGTTTAGGGATAGATAAATTCAGTGGAAAGCGCGCCGAAAGGAAATTGTTATCGTTGTTCCATAAATAAATATAAAAGAAAAACCTATTTCATTCCCTCATACTTCTCCTTTTTTTTTTTTCTTCCTATTTGGTTTTGTACCTGTACCTTCTTTCGACATTTAAACCAAGAAGTAAAAAGAGGTAAAAGAGAGCGGGGCACGAGTCTCGGGACATAATTTACAATTAGCGTCGGCTTCAGCTCAAAGTCCCGATAATTAATCCAATTGCTGTACAAGAAAACTTCAAATTTATCGCGCGCAACGTGAATGCTCTTGTCACTTGATTTAAATCCAATACGATTTTATTATTCAACTTAAAATACGTCTTATTTCCACATATCATTCAGTAAAATAAAAGTATACAAATCTTTCAGATTTGATTTTTTATTGTCAGTTTGAATACTTCCTACAATGGTTTCAAATAATACACTTATACTTTTATATGAAATAACAATTTTTATTGTATTAACTACAAATTTCATGTATGTGTGTGAAAAATAAAATATTTTTCACAATTTTTAACAAATTATTTTCTATTATTATTTTGATACATTTCTATTATAATTTTAGAAATTTTTTTTTTTTAATAAATTAACAATTGATAAAAGTAATGTAGAGTAGTTAAATTGATTATTTGTACATTTTTGTCTGTTTTATAAATTACAAAAGTAAAAATTGCAATTTGTTTAATAATGGACACCTGCTTTTTACATTGTATACGTAATAACTATTATTTTCATGGTTGGAAGCACAAAACACTTGTTTCTTGTGGACGAGATTCGATCTCTGGTCGAGAAATGTGATGGATTGCCAAAAGAATAATGTTTACACTTTACAGGTGTACTATAAAATAATAGGTATGTCATCGCTGTAATTCCAACGATTAATCCAGATTATTCTAATGAATTGATCGAGGTTTTCCTTAAGTAACAAATTTGTTCCGTGAGAACGAGGCGCATTTAATTAAAATAATAAATATTACCTTCCACACACACACAAACAGATAGAAATTGTTAAGTTCGTGTAAACGTGCCCACACTAACTACAAAATTAGCAAATTGTTATTATTTTCCATCTTGTTTTTCCTTCACAATAAATAAGTCGTAATTATAATGTAGAAAATGCAATTATATTTAATGAAACCTTATAGTTAATTTAATTATTTTTTTTAAATAATTTTTAGTTGTATTTAACACAAGGTTTCACTTTCTATTAAACATAATTAGTGAGTGATTTATGATATAATTTTGAACTTTATTTGATCACCTACCCAAATATTATTCCGAAAAGGCTACTGTTTAACTTTCATTCAGTTAATCGTCAGATGCGTGATATTATTAACAATTACTTTATTAATGTTAAGATTTCAACATAAGTTGATCACCTTTGCAAATATAATCCTCTACCATCATTGCTTAACTATAATATATCTAAAGTTAGGTGGGTTATATTATTAATAAACTATTCAATACAACATTTTTATAGTAAATAAGAAATATCTTTTCAATGAATAGTAAAAACACAAATAAGAATTTGTAAACAAAAAATGTTGGAATAACCCAACAAAAGTTAAAACAGGTTAATAAATTTTCCACTTTATATATTCCAAGTCCAACAAATAAACTAGAAATTTCGTTAATGGAAACAAATGAGTAAAAACCCAGTAACAATTATTAATTGTTATGTAAAATTTATTTATAAAAAAGAAAAATTATGTAATTTCGATTATTATTTTTCTGTTCAATTAAATACGTATATCATTCATTTAACGCTTTTGTTGATACGTACAAATTGAAGATTAAATTGTATTTTTTTATTAAATCGTTTTATTGTGGATTTAATGAGAAAGTATGGAAATCGCAACAGTTGTTTAATGATTGCTTTGCAAATTATATTTGCGTTGCAGTTCAACGCTATTGTAAACACACGGATTCCTATAATGCTTTTAATAGATGCGTATAATCGTGTTGTTGGAAAGTTTTATAATAATACATTGATCAAAACACTAATTTTTCTTTCATTAATTTGATTAAAATTTCATCATAATTTTTCACATTTTTCATTACCTTATTTATTTATTTCAAATAGATATTTTTTCATGAAAAAAAATATTAAAACAAATTATACAACTCCAATTCTTAACTAAGTTTTTATTAGTTAAAATTACTTGTTTTTAAGTGATAATAATAATCATTTGTGAACAAAAGCAATAAGAATACTTAAATATACTTGTTTGATAATTAAAAATAAATGGGTCTTTTTGAACAAAAGTTATTTAAGTTAGATGAATTTGTTTATTAATGGTTGGAAAACTAAAGACTTTCCCTTTTCGGTGTTTTCAGTTGATGATTAGGAGCGAAAACAACGGAGCTCGAAAATACAATATCTCATGAATTTATCGATTCCGTTTTTCACTCTCTCTCTCTATCTGTCTCTTCTTTTCTCTCTCTCTCTCTCTCTCTCTGTGTTTCACGGAGCGAAAGTAAAAGTTCCTTTTAGTAGGTTCTGACCTATGACACCCGTTCGGATGAGGACAATACAAGCAAAAGCGTTAAAAAAGAGACTTACTTACTTTGCTCGACGCTCACGCTTCTGTTCGCTTCCAGCGCGGTTACGTAAATAAGTTTTCGGTGGAAAAAGAAAATGAAAGAAAATAAATACAGAGAGGAGAGAACAGCAAAAAAAAAAAAACTTTCGCTGTGACCTCGAGGTGAGCGCGAAAATCGCGTCACGAGATGGGAGAGGGTATGATCGATCGTCGCGACGCTCGAGCGTCACAGGTGAAACGGCGTCGTGACGTCGGTGCTGGCGTCACGACGCCGCTACGTCACTTCCGCGCGTTTTGAATGGAAGAGGCTGAGGTGAAGAAGCGAGGCGAGGTTGAGGTAAGTTCTGCAGTCGCCGCTTCACAATCGCGATTATAAATATATACGACGAAGCGGCAAATATTCTTTGGCATGCAACATTACCTATTAATAAATCGATTAAGTTCCGACGGCGCTCGCGATGCACGAGGCGCGTGCAAACTTAAGTAGAGTTAAGTAACTAAGTAGGCACTAAGTGTGCGTCGGGAATCTGAGTCCATGTGACCGCACCGCACCGCACAACAAGTCGTAGGTGGAGAGAACTCTCTCTATCAACCTCACACTCTCTCACGACCTAGTGGAGGAGTATTTTCTACAATTTACACGAGATCAGTTCTTTTTGGCAACAGGCTTGGTCCCCTGCTCCAAGTCACAAGTCTGCACGTGCCCATTCATTCGGCACTTCCCCAAATACAAATTAACAATGACAATATTGGTTAGTAAACATAACAAAACATACAAAAAATAAATAAATAAATAAATAACAAAACCCAAACGGAAAGAAAATAACAATAAAGCGTTAGTTAAAGATCTTTGGAAGGCTGCGTTGAAAGATAGATTTTTTTTTTATGAAATTTTCTGTTGACTACATACACTTGTTCCTTAGGTAGCTGTAACTGGGTGAATTGTTGTTGTTGCTGTCAGTGTGTTGGACGTTAAGAGAAGATGATTGCAGCCGGTGTCTTAGCGGCGGCGGCCCGGACCGCATGTCGTGGCATTGCTATATGAACTCAACGAGTTCTTCGCGAAACGTCTTTGAAGTGTTATTTTATCACAGATTCTAAGTCTCTAAATTTTGCAATCCGCACTCATCGGAACGGCGTCGATAAATGGTAGTAAAACAGTCCAGTATAACAAATAAGTAAATTCTAAAAGGGCATGCAACAACACAACATCAAAATAGACAAATTATGGTACACTTAGCATGCAGAAACTGTTGAAGCTGTGTTTGATGCTATTTATTTCAATTTTTTTTATCTATGTGATGTGAGGAACTTTGATAAAAAAAAATATGTTGGTGTATAGTTTTTTTTTGTAGTGTTTCTTTTTTTTTTCTGTTGTCTATTCTACAGTGGATGCCGGACACATAAAATCACCTGGCGAGTTCCGGAATTCGGTTTCCGGAGAAGAGGGTGAGCGCGCCTCTTCCGCACCGCTCCGGGGTGACTCCACGCTTGGATCTCTAGATATCCTCATGTAAAACACATTCTTTTTAAAGTCACCACAGAAGAGAAGATGTTAACCGGTAACGCGGAGATCCAAGGGTTTTATATATTTAAATGTTCTTTCAACTTTTTGCGCACTTCGAGTTCTTTAGATACTTATTAAAAATTGTTGCTTTTGGTCACTTTTGCTGCTGCGGTTGGTTGTGATACTTCTTCTCCCGAAGATGATGATTGTCTGCCCGTTGAGATGTTGTGCGGCGTTCGCGTGTGTCTTTTGGTCGGTGTTTGTATATGTGTATGTATGTTTACGGTGTGTGTATGTATGTAATGTAATGTATGTATATGTGTTGTTTGTGGTCGCGGTCCAGATCACTGTGAGATTTGCACGCGACTGGACGTTCTCGACGAGGCCGTCACACTATATCCCTGCCACTCTCAACCGGCCCATTATAAAACCGCTTGTTCGCGTTCCCCCTGACGTCATAACTCCGCAGTGACGTCACCGACGTCATCGATTTCGCTACGACGCCGACGCCACCGACGCCTCCTCGCACCCCTCGACCCGCTTCCGCGTCGCAACGGCCGCCTGTGACGTCACAACCGTTACATCCCGGTTGTGACGTCAAGACGAGGCGCGTCTCCCTCACACCAGAATTCCACCCATCCCTTTGGAACGGAACACACACACACACACACACACATCGATTTCGCGGCATGCAAATCACCCTCGGCCCGCTTTTGTTTATTGCATTTCTCTTCTAAACGATCCTACTCTAATTATAGACTTCTCTACCTAGATATTCCGATATTCAAATTACCGGAATCGAAAGAAGAAAACACACAAACACCCAACAACCAACCCCCGACGACTTTGCATTCGCGAACTTCCGGTTAACTCTTTGACAAGGACGTATCTCTCCATTATTATTTTTTTTACCTTCCCCATCGTAGTGGCAATTAATTGATTTTTTTTAAACTATTATTAGCTACATTTATTTACTCATTCCATCAAGTAAATAAATTCCATTTATATTGTAAATGGAATAAATATATTATCTAACAACATTAATATCTACAAAAAAAAAACATGAAATATATAATAACTAAATTAACTAACAAAAAATTACGTACATATTGAAATCGAAAATTTTTGTTAATTGTAAAAATTGTTTTTAAATTTGATTAGTTCTATAATTATTGCAACAAATAGCATTTATTTATTTTCCAAATCTATTGTAAACAATAAAAATTTCTTTTACTGCTTTAAACCCATTCACTTACAATTTAGATTTAGTCTAACTGTAAAGGTAATAATCCAATTTTTCTGCATTTTCTAATGTTTTAAATATTGAAATCAAATTTATTAATAATAAATGTAGAATAATTACAAGATATAATTATGTATTAATAAGTATAATAATCTTATTGCAATTTTGAATGAACGTAAAATAAGTAAAGTAGAGTTTTCTAATTCTAGATTTGTTGCTTATTCGAATTACTTTGTTAAGTTTCAAAAAACGAACTCTGGATAGGGTAATGTTTACTGAAATTATATAATAGATTTAGTGTTATAAGATTATCATATTTTCCCAAGTATAATACGCCTGAAAGACGGGAAATTCCATTACAAAAATCTACAACTACTGTATAAGACGCACCCTGTTTTTAGACCCCAATTTTTTCAAAAAAGAATTGGACTTAAAAGTAGATTAATTTGCTTTCTTCAAACAAATATTTGGTATTATTTACCAAGTATTTTTTACAAATATTTGTAAAATCAGTTATAGCAGTTTTGAAGACTTTGAAGATAATCTTATGATTTATATTTGTTACGAAAAGTAAAGAAATGAGTATTTTCAATCCATTATGTATAGTAGATACTTTCTTGCCTGTACTTTTCACAATGTTTTTTTATATCGTGTAATTTTTCTTCACAATCTGTTCATCAATGTCAACATTGAGTAAATTTAATATCGCGGTTAACATTAGATAGGTAATCTTTCCCGGTGGATAATTACCATTATGATGATTTAATTTTTAATTTGTTGGTTGGCTGTCGTCTTGTAGGTTAACTTCAGTGGTATATTGATGCCCTGCGATTCCACTATTTCCTTTGACTATGAATCTGCTGCTATCCTTAACACTGTCATTGTCCATTGACTTGACTGAAGGTCCATATGCTGAACCTCATTAATTTCACTGTCCATCTGTGATGAACAATGGCCCTATTGCTGCAAGCACCGAGAGGGCTCACAAAGGGTCTGGCTTGACCAGGATTTGAACCTGGATCCACTAGCTCATGGGTAGGGCGACTTAACCATTCGGCTATTAGTCGTCCATTTCCACAAAGTAAAACTAAAATTATTATCTGTGTGCGATACAAAAATTAATTAACTTAAATAAAAGAACAATTAAAAAAACTACATAAAATCAAAAACTGACATATTAATATTTGATATCTTTATATGAAATTAAGGTATGTCTATTTGAAATATAAGATCTATTAATTAGCAAATAAATGAAATGAAATAAATTATAAATTAATTAAAGTAAATGAAGATATTTTAATTGCAGCTAGAGAGAATTCGATACAGATGCTTATCGCTTGTCAAGCGAAAATTATCGATTGCAAAATAATTGATTCAGAAAAGATGCAAAAAAAAAAAACAAATAAACTCGAACAGTTTTATAATTAGTTTCGTATGCAAATGCGCCCAGATCAGTAGATGAAATTGCAGTCCAATAAATTATTTATTCGTTGAAAAGCCAAATTAGCAGCGCACATTTTTTTTTTGTATCACTCTTCATTTCATAATAAATCTGTCAATTATTGAAATATGTTTTTGATGCATTCATTTTTTGATGAAATTTAATCCGTGTTCCAAATTAATTTATTTTATAAAAAAAATAAGTTGATTTAATTTGCTAGAATTAGAAATGGAGATATTGTAGATAGTGAATTTGGAAATACTCAAGATGTTCTCTAATCCTAATAGTTAATTATGTTTTCATATATTAATTTTGATTAATTTCAATTAATAAGTATTCCATTTCGTTTGAAATATGTTTAATAATTTGAACAGTTTTAAATAATTAAAGATTTATTTATGTATGGAATAAACTTTTAACATAATATTGAACTATGAACTTGCCTTAATTTTTATCCTATTTAATTAGTGAATAATTTAATTAAGAAACTTTTATATACAAAATTGACAGCTGTCAGTTTATTATAACTGTCATTTCATATTATGACAACCAATAATTCTACTAACAAACAACTGTCCGAAACCAATCCATAATTATGTAACATTGAATACATTAATTCAATACAACAGTTTAAGTTTATACTACAGTAGTAATGTTATACATTGCATAATATGACAAATAAATATTTGTTAGGCTTACCAACTCCTATTTACAAAAATTACTGACAGCTGTCAGTTAAGTTTAAAGGTCAAAATAATTTAATTTAAGTTAATTTCACCAGACTATTGCAAGAAGACGGAAATATAGTCGAATTATTTTATATTGAATTATGATTAATTTGAGGAAGTTTAATCAGTGATATGAAATTTTTATTACATTTCAATTCTGTTTAAAAATCTAAGCTTTTATAAGAAATATGGGATGTGGGTTTGGAGATGCAGTAGGCCGAAGAATTGGAAATAATCAGGTGCATCGAGGATCCAGGAAATGAAGAGCAAGTAAATTGGACGGAGGATGAATGGACGGAGTATGCAGTGGGAGGACGGTTTGACGGGATGCGTAATAACTTGTGTTATATGTATATTTATTGATCGGCCGAGGGTGACATCGATGCAAAAGAGAGGAGGAATGGCGTGGGTGATGCTGGTACGTACCTGCCGATGTCAGGTGGGTTGGATAATGCGTGGGTGGATGAAAGTCCTGGAGTTGGGATGTACGCAAAACTGGTGAACATACTATCCTCATGAATGAACAGCGTAAACCCACACTCTGTTACATATACGCATCTCCGCAACAAAAGTATTGTACATCTGCTCCGTATTGAATTTTATTCTATTCACAATATTTTCCATTGATTACCGTACATTACGTGCGCACATTCAATACGAAAATATTACAATTTAATCTGATTGAAAACTACTATATTTGATATTGATTCTCAGTATTAATTAGATGATTTTACTCATAAATGGCTATCAAACTTTTTTTTTAATACTTTAAACAAAAATTACCCAATGATTTATTTTCTAGCAAAATTATAATGTTTAATTATGTTTGATTCATGCTTTTAATATACACGAACAACTTTTATATACAAAATTGACAGCTGTCAATTTAATATAACTGTCATTTGACATAAAGACAACCATTAATAGTTGATACTACTGTCAAACAACTGTCACTTGTGTTAGGCTTAGTGTGGTTGCAACTTAGGACAAATACCAATAAGTCCATGATATTCTTTAATATAATATCAGCAATGTTACATTATACATTATGTGTAATATGAGATATAAATATATGTCAATATTACCAATTCCTATGTACACAATTGACATCTGTCAATTTAGTTTAACTGTCATTTGATATGATGACAACCAATAATGATAAAAGATAACTATGACTTCTGTCATGTTTATTGTGACTAGTTTAAAAGAAATACGAATTGCAAACTTTTTAGAACAGTTCCCAGTAGTGTTGCATCCAGACAATGTAAAATATAATAAATAGATGCGTCTTCTCCTATGTTCACAATTGACAGCTGTCAGTACAACTGTTACTCTTATTACACTTAGTGTTGATACAAGTTAAGACAAATTCTAACCTATCCATAATTTAATTTTATGTAATGATGAATTGAATGTTTCATAACAGTTCATCCGTATAATATACTAGTATGAAATATGAGTCAATATTACCATTTCCTATATACACAATTGACAGCTGATTTGACATTTGTTATAGTGACAACCAATAATAGTTGGTACTATTCAAATACGACAATTACTGTTATTACAATTAGAGA